TGTAAGGGTACAGACTATGGTATAGGTAGAGACAGATGTAATGGTACAGACAGAGGTAAGAGTAGAAACAAAGGTAAGGGTACAGACAGAGGTAAGTATAGAAACAAAGGTATGGGTACATACAGAGGTAAGTATAGAAACAAAGGCATGGGTAGAGACAGAGGTGTGTAGGTTCTAGCAATAGGAGGCATGCTAGCGCTTAGTGAGGTTTACCCTGCGATCGTGTATCCCGCTGGGGGTCGTCGCATACGACTCAGGATGATCACCTCACACACAGCTGAGCTGGCACTGTCTCTCGGCAACATCATCACCACAAGCTGTTTCTTCTTCATTGCACGCTCTCCTATACGTTAACACGGACATTCAAGTTTACACATTTCATGTTATTTCTTACACATAACCTGTTCTAATATGTAAGGCATTGGTACAAGTTAGGAAAAGCAGAAAAAACACTGTACGGCTGACTTTAGTACATGTGTACTTCTAATCAGAGGTTTACATATGTATGCACTTACGTGTATCAACTGTTAGATCAACGAGACTATATCCTTGTGGAACTGGACTCCGTTCACCCAGTACAGCTATGTCTGCCAACACATTGTTCAGCGTACCCTATATTTAACAGAAAACCCACAAACAATAAGATACGTGTAACTTGCCCTTATATATTCAATTCAATTCAATTTACTTTATTTACACTTATATATGTCATGGAATACTTCATAAAACACAAGTTAACTAAGTGAAAAAGGATACTTCAACGCACATTTTCCAGAGGAAAGTGTCTCGTGATGCACAGATAGCGAAGCATCCTCCGGCTAAAGAAGCCATCTTTCCACAGGTCCGCATCGATGTTGTTGTCAAAGGTCTTATCAATCTATGTGAAATGAATGCTACGTTATTTTCTTTATAAATTATATATATATATATCAGGAGTAGATAAATAGGAGGAGTGTGACATCAATAAACAAGGAAATTCGTCAATTTTACTACCCTTATAATACCTACGATTACTTACGCGTAACTCATCCAACTTGAGCTCAAATCGGGCACACAGCGAGTACATTCCGCGCTAATCATCGTGCGAAATCGTTTCGCTCGTAACACACCCGCAATCCGAGATACAGCCTAAAACGTACGACACCGATTCTCCATTCTTTGGCCATCAATCCAACGCCATTGTGCGCCTATAATTCAGACAAAAGGCAGCAACACTGGCCGCGCAGTATCGCTGTGTAAAGCCTGTGTTTGTCTCTTCGGAATGCGGAATGTGGCGTTGTGGCTCGGGCGGGAGATTGACATCGGACGCATACACTCGACGAGCTAATCATGCGGGTTGGCGTGCGTGCGTGAAGCATGGGGCAGCTATGTAGCAAGAGGTGGCCTGTGTAGCTCTGTACGGGTCAAAAGGTTATTTCGCGCGAGTGTTGATGCCTAATCTCCCAGCAGCGAGCCACACAATGCCTCGCTGAGTTATGTAGCTGCCTTTTATGTAGGCATGCTCGCTTAGGTAGCTGCCTTTGTTTGAATTATAGGCGCGCATGGCCGTTGGACTTGATGGCCAAAGAATGGAGAATCGTGTCGTACGTTTTAGCTGTATCTCCGGATTGCGGGTGTCTAACGAGGAAACAGATTTCGCCACGATGATAGGCGAATGTACTGTGTCCGATTTGAGGCTCAAGTTGGATGAGTTACGCGTAGTAAATCGTAGTATTATAAGGCTAGTAAATGACGATTTCCCTTGTTTATTGATGGCACACTCCTCCTATTATCTACTCCTGATATATATGCAGAGAGAGAGAGAGAGAGAGAGAGACAGACGAGACAGAGAGAGAGAGAGAGAGAGAGAGAGGAGAGAGAGAGAGAGAGGAGAGGAGAGAGAGAGAAGAGAAGGAGGGGAGAGAGAGAAGAGAGAGAGAGGAGAAAAGAGATAGAGAGAAAAAAAGAGAATAGAGAGAGAGAGAGAGAGAGAGAGAAGATGAGAGAGAGATGAAGAGACGAGAGAGAAAGACTATACACACAGGCAGGCAGACAGACAGGTATAGGCAGGCCCATGGCCGTATCATGTGTAACGGACACGCAGAGGACATGTCTCATAAGAACCCTACCAAATACATGACCATACAACACATCAGGAATTGACTCATACAAGAAATTCACTGCGAGTTCTATATTATAATTTATAGTCTATATAACAAGATGGGAATTCCAGTCAAATAGTCATGCATAACGCTGACGTGAAGACGAACGCGTTTTTAAGAATAATGTTAATGTGAGATGCATACTACTGTGTAGCCTGTCGGGCAATTCTGCCTGTCGGTGACCACACACAGCCCCGTGATCGGATTCTCCATAATAACGCCCACTGGCACTGTATGTATGGTGTATGATACACTGTGACTATGATATTACAGAGTTCAGAGTCCACTGTACACGACGTTTCTTAGCTTTCTATGCCTTGCACTTGCAGTTGCAATCACTGAATCAGCAATGTCTGTCACATTACTTCTTCTAACTTTTAACAATGTTAGCTGCTGTATTACCTAGGTGACTTATAATAGAGTAACACCAGTATTTGGTATAACACGCTATTTAGTACATAATAATAAATTAATGTGAACTCTCAGACCAGCAGAAACATGTACACAAAAAATATGTTTATACCGGAACCGGAACCACGCTATCTACTGTGCAATGCTTATGGAAAACAGAAATACACACTACACAAGTACTATATGATATCTTAAAATGCTTTTATTTCTTGTATATTTATAATTATATAGTCAGGAGTCTCTCAATGATTCTGCCTTGTTATATCTCTCTGATTGCGTATTTTCTACTAAACACACTATATGTATCATTTTGTGACGATAGATGGCAGTGAAGCATCAAAACAACTTTTTGGGAGTCGCACGTCTTTGGATTTAGAATGTTTTGGTAAATCAGCATCAGCTGGTTCAGCGATATGGCTTCACAAAAACTTTTGTCCTGTCTAGTTTATAGAGCCGCAGCTTTGTTAGACGTGACTGTAGGCAGCCAGAAAACGTCAAAGTTAATTAACCACCACCGTGTCTGTTATTTTTCTTCAGATCAACGTGTAAGTATGTTTGGGTATACTCCAACTCCAAGGGTGTCACTTTCCCTCGGGCGTAGATGGAGGGTGCCGTTACGTGGCAGCACTAGTCACTTCGTACGCTTCAAAGGCCAAATCTGCCACAGAAAGATTCCACAATCATGCTTCCGTGCGAGACATGGCCTTAATTATTTCCCTAACAGTAACCCTAATCCTACCCCTAACCCTTAAACTCTAAACCCTGACCCTAACCCTAAATTCCTAACACAAGGGCCTAATCCTAACACAAGTGCAGCCACATCACGTGACCCTCTATCTACGGCCGGGGGGGGAAAGTGACACCCCAACTCCAAGGGGCAAGGGACCCCAAGCCTAGGCAGACCAGGGCAGACAGACCATGAATGATGATGATATCATACATGATACATAGGTGATACCTATACTATATATGCCTATGGCAACGGGGAGAGGGTGCTCGCCACTTGCCTTAATTAGCCCTACCCGTGTAGCCCTTCGCTCTCCTTGTACCAGGGGCGCGCAGCCCAGGCTGTGAGACTAGGCTTAGCCGTAGGTAGCTATAGTACTAGAGCTAAGCCTTATAGGTAGCTCTAGTAACTATAGCCCACGTACGTTTGCCGCTGGCGGACGGCAACTGTACCCGGACTATAGTTACTAGAGCTATAAGGCTTAGGGTGACTGCGATCCGCAGTATTGATCTGTCTATTTGATCAACTTTGTCTCTTTCCGCCTTCGATGTAGTTCCTTGGACTTTGAAGACTTATATTTACGAGGGTACAAGGTTATAGGTCTGACCATGGGCGTAAATCCCGGGGGGATGGGGGGGATGCATCCCCCCTGCTCTTGAAGGAGGGGGGATGGCCTGTACAAATATCCCCTGAGATTAAAAAAAAAAACTTTCCTCCGTGCCCCACTTGAAAGTTCAGATAATTATGATAATTTGGAGACATGGGCAGACCTAAATCATTTCAATTACTGCAGGGGCGTATACAGGGGGGGGGAGGGGTCCAGGGGTACCCCCCCCGCTCGCGCAGAAAACGCATCTGAGGGGGTCTAATTTCAAACAATTTTGGGGGGAGGGCCAGACCCTTCCTTCGCGTGATCATCCCCCACTCCTCGGAACGGATTTACGCCCCTGGGTCTGACGATATGTATGGCTGTTACCTGGAGCTACACTCGCTTTGGATACAATAATGTACAAGACTGACAGACAAGGTTGTGTTGCCTTTCCGCCTCAGTGAGGAACCTGTTGCTTGCAGGGTGAAGAGCTACGTACATGTGTACAGTGGCGGATCTAGAGGGGGGTTGGGGGGTTCGCAACCCCGCCGTTCAGCCACTGACTAATGTTATGATACTAGTAAAATGGGGCCAAAAAAAAAAGGTCAGTTTGTAGGCTGATAGAAACTGCATGGGGATTTCCTTTGTGACCACACAGCTGCCTGAATTTTCCAGGTGGAATGGGGGCATACCTCCGGACCACCCTAGCACCGCGTGCCTTTGGCACACAGGCACTTGGAGCGTCTCAAAAAAAAAAAATGTAAACACGAAATGTATTTACTAGTAGAACTCTCTTATTCATGTTGTTTGTGCACAGGGAAGGCGTGCGGTGTACTTGTGTGTTGCAGATGAGCATTTAACCAGCATTTACGGGTAATTATTAGCAATAATAGGCGAGATAGAGTAGAGAAACATTAAGACTTTGGTAGTAAATACATTTCGTGTTTATTTACTATTATATTTTTTTAATTGAGACGTTCCAAGTGCCTGTGCTTTGGCAATCTTCACTCAAATATCAACCCCCCCCCCCCATCTCCTGAAAGCTAGGTCTGCCGCTGGTGTAGGGCTGGGCCAGGGAAAGCTGTGAACATGTGTTATGAATAGCTAGATATTTGCTTCTTTGCAGAGTATACAGCAAAATATGAAGAAACCATATAAGGGAGTCCTTGGGACATTAATTGGCCTATGCATTGACTGTATTCCACAGTGCAATAAAAAAATGTTCTTTAGCCAACAAACGTACTCATTTACTAAATGTTTTTAGTAGGTTAAAAACTAGAGTTTTAATTGATCTGTGAAAGTTAGTGGGTTGTAGCCAGTAGTCTAGACATTTTTTGAAGTTGACACAAAATTACACGACGATGTGCTCGTGCAAAGAGGTTTTGCTTCTTATTGTAATATGTATATGTGAGTAGCAGTAGGTCTTGCTGTAGCATATTCACGTTTCCCAACTACTGTAGGCAGGTAAAGGAGACACCACAGAGAAAAGCAAAGCTGTACGTCTGGAGGAGCATCAACAAAAGCTGAGAGCAGCAAGTCTTCCAAAACAGAAGAAAATTCCGGGAGTGAAACATGTTAGTACAGCTCATAGGGGGTCTAGTCCCCCAGGGTACTCCGAACGTACCCTGGGATACGGTCCGGTATACAGGAACGTTAACCCTGGTCACTATTTGATATGGTTCGCCGTTAGGGTTAGGATGGTTAGCGGTTTAGGGTTAGGTTCGGGTTTAGGGAGTAGGCGTAGGCGACTCCCTAGACTCGATTAGTGGAGTAGCGAAGTACGGTCCGGCATATTAAGTAGTAGTATTTAGTGCCAGGTACGTTCCGGTAACCGGAGCCGTTACCCAGGGTACGTTCCGGCAGTACCCTGGGGGGACATAGACCCTATGGCGCACTCAGGTAACCTTGTACAGCACATGCATATATGCACATCTGGTTTTTGCAACAAGATTATAATGCTAAGCTAGTAAGCAAATAATATATCATTATGATGCCAGTATGAATGCATATGTGTACTAATGCACAAAATAAAACTTACTCAACTTTGTGCTAATATTAATATTTTGGAATTGTTATGAATAATCACACAAGTGTAATTTGAAGCTTTGTTGCAGATTATTCTGGTTGCATCAGGAAAAGGTGGGGTAGGAAAATCAACGACAGCCGTGAACCTAGCACTTGCAACGTCAAGCCTCGACAGGGTAGCTAGGTTAAAGCTATGATTCTAAATTTAATTGTCAGTAGCATCTAAATGCACGTGCTACCTACAAGGCACACATACAATTACTTTGTCCGGTGCTTATCATTCAACACATTCACCGATAAATTTGGTATTATTTATCACAATCTGTATGACTTCTATAGCATAAGAACAGTCGTATGCAGATATCAAAGCATAAATGTGTGATAGTTTGACGTAATAATATTAAGTAAAAATATCATAGATTTATGCTGATTTTGACATATTATTTAATTATATTTTACGTTCTATATTATGTAATATAAAATATAACATGCAAAATCTCTTTCGATACTCAGAATTAACGTGGTGGAACAAATTGTAAGGGTCAAAATACAGCGGCATCGACAGTTTCTCGTGTAGTCTAGAGCAGAGGTGGCTAGAAGTGATGTACTCTATAACAACAGGAGCACCTCACCACGTCTTCATCTTGTTGTATAACTATGCATGAGCACTATAGAAATTATCCTCGTTAGACCTAGCACCTCAGTATGTCTTCATCTTGTTGTATAACTATGCATGAGCACTAGTAATTATCCTCGTTAGACCTAGCACCTCAGTATGTCTTCATCTTGTTGTATAACTATGCATGAGCACTAGTAATTATCCTCGTTAGACCTATAGCACCTCACCATGTCTTCAACTTGTGTAACTATGCATGTCGCGTTAGAAATGAACCTAGCACCTCAGTATGTCAAGGGACTCCTCTCTATTGCAGCATGTCAAAGTTGGCCTCTTGGATGCAGACATTTATGGGCCATCGGTACCCACAATGATGAACCTAGATGGAGAGCGGGCAAAGATCAATCATGGTAAGGGTATATGTGACTGGATGCTGGCCCAGCGAGATTTAGCTGGATGTGGTCATGCATCCTTCACAGTTTCTCCCTCAATAAAACGTGGATCGATTGCTAGTAATAACTTGCCTGTGATGTACCTCTGGCCCATCGCATGGATCGTGGTTCATGGTGGCTGATTGGTCAATCACAGGTTAATTGCTCTAGACTCAACACTAGTTTCCAAGGTTAACTGCCCCTGCTTTTATTGCAGTATCTACTATGAAGTAGGAAACTAAAATCAGTCCGATATAATTCTTTGTGTAATTCCTTGTTGAAGCTATCATGTACTCTCTATACTCAGTACTGGTTCTGGGTTATATCTAGAATTGTTCAGTATAGTCTCTTTCCTTGCTATATGAGATCACTTTACGACTGCAACATCTAGAGCAAAACTTCTATTAATATTGAATGAGAATTTTTAATCTAATATGAATTGTTGGTTTTTATGAATAAGACTCTTTATCCTGATCACAGAGAAAAAGATCATACCACTGAATAACTATGGCTTAATGTGGTAAGTGATAGCGATTTCTTTTTTATTGTGATTTATTAGGAAATGTGATTAATTATTAGTTTGCATGAAATAGAATTTACAAAAAAAAAAAAAAATAATATTTAAGAGTAAATAACAAATGAAAATACATAATATATGCAGTACATATAAGCGTCATGTTGTTAGTTATACAAGCTTTGCGTCTAATTACTGGAATTGGTTAAGCGATGTCTGTGGAAGTAATATAAGCTGTAAGAATCATAAGATACAGAAGAAGTGGACGCAACAGTGGAAAAAAGGGTTAAGAAACACATCACTGAAGGTCGTTGCTAAAACACGAATGTCGATTTCTTTGCATTCCAGTATGTCCATGGGGTTTTTAATTGACAAGAACACACCTGTTGTCTGGAGAGGTCTGATGGTTACCTCTGCTCTACAGCAACTGCTCAGCGATGTATGTGTAAACTCTCGTTTCTCAGTGGAGTGCTATACTAATAACCCTAGCCTCACTTTCAGCAATGATTTTTGCCCTGGTCTCAGTCTCATTGTTTTTGTCTTACCAGTCCTTAGTGTCATTATTGGTGGTTGCCCTCACTTTCATTTTCAGTAGTTGTCCAACCCTTACTCTTAATAAATTAAATTGTTCAGGCACTACTGTTTTGTTGTTGGTTGCTTGTCATTGCTGGTGGTTGCTCAGTCCTTAATCTTATTGCTGATGGTTGTCTAAGCATTGTTGTAATTGTTGTGGGTTGCCCAGCCATTATTGTTATGCCTTGTAGACATTACATCCTCACTCTTGCAACAGAGATCGAGGATAAAACAACTACCCACATGCTGTTTGTTACCTGACAGAAAGCCATGCGATCGGTGTTTCTTGAATGAACATGAAGTTTTTTAAACTTGTAAATTGATAAATTGGAAGGTTTTTTTTCCATCTTCATCTATTTTTCATTTGTTACATGATTAGATAAAAGATAATAATGCCAAAATTCATTAAACTTGCTATGGGTATATTTGTAGGTGGTATAATTATGATTATTTGTAATTGCAGTATCATCTATAACACGTGTATATAACTGCTGATGTATTTTCTAGGTAGCATGGGGGGAGTTGGACTACCTCTTTGTTGACATGCCACCTGGAACTGGAGATGCACAGCTAACCATATGCCAGAACGTTCCTGTTTCAGGTGAAAACATCAATATGAACATCAATTACATATGTTCTTCAAGTTGCATGGTGGAACATATTGTCCCATGGCAACAGAAGGTGTAGTGGTAGTAGTAGTGGTGGTGGCAGGGGCAGGAGCGGGGGTGGCGGCGGTTGTTGGTGTTGTTGGTGTTTTTAGTGTTGTTGTGAGTGTTGGTGTTGTTTTTTTAGTTTTTCTTGTCGTTGTTGCTGTTGGTGGTGGTGTTGTTTTTTGTTGTATTAGTAGTTATTGTTGTTTTTGGTGGTGGTGGTGGTGGTGGTGGTGGTGGTGGTGGTGTTGTTGTTGTTGTTGTTGTTGTTGTTGTTGTAGTAGTAGTTTTTGTTGTTGTTGTTGTTGTTGTTGTTGTTGTTGTTGTTGTTGTTGTTGTTGTTGTTGTTACCTCCGCGCAACGGAGTTGCAGGGAGGTAATGTAATCGCTCTCGTGTGTGTGTTCATGTGTGTGTTCGTGTGTGTGTTTGTGTGTGTGTTTGTGTGTGTGTGTAGCCAGCAGCAAGCCAGCTGTTAGACACACGCTCAACCGATCGATCGATTCAGCACCAGCTCGCCTTAGGGCGTCCAGTCAGCAGCAGCTCACCTTAGGGCGTCCAGTCAGCAGCAGCCAGCAGGGAGCCAGCTGTTATACACATGTATACATGTTACACGCTCGCGAAGGTATGCACTCTCTTTGAGTGCCCTCTGTCTAGTTGTAGTAGTAGTTGATAGTGGTGGTGTTGTAGTTGTTGTTGTTGTGTTTGTTGTTGTTGTTGTTGTTGTAGTTGTTTTTGTTGTTGTTGACAGGTGCTGTGATGGTGACAACTCCGCAGGACATCGCTCTTCATGATGTTCGACGCGGCGCAGAAATGTTTAAGAAGGTGAAGGTAAGAGATTGCAGCAGTTACACGGTGACAGAGTATGACAAGCTCTATAGTGACGTATGTAGGTTGGATAGACGAAACTCTAGTGACATGGGTAGATTGGATGGGCCAAGCTCTAGCGACATGTGTAAGTTGGATAGAAAAATGTCTATTAATATGGGTAGTTTGAATAGTTTAGGGACATGGGTAGGTTTGATAGGCTACAATCACGCGATAAAATTTTAATGTTTAGTGAGAGGGCATTGCCAGGCCCACCTGGCCAAGGACAAGTTCCAGGGGTTTGTTGAGCTATATATAAGGGCTATCCACAGGGTGTGGCTGAGCGAAGGTGCAGAGACGGCCGGGTTACATATAGTTTAATATGTCATTACAGACGTGATTGATGGAATCATCACGTATCCAACGCAAACAGCATCGTAAGGAATGACACGCAGTGCATAGAGTGAGCGTCGTTGATCTCTATCTTAATCATTAGATCTCTCCATCAGGTTCCCATTCTCGGAGTGGTGCAGAACATGAGTGTGTTCCTCTGTCCAAACTGCGGCCACAAAACCCACATATTTGGTGAAGACGGCGCAAAGAGACTCAGTGAGGACACAGGTATTCAGGTGCTAGGTGAGTAAGTAAGTAAGTAAGTAAAAACTTTATTTAACGACGGTAAAACGTGTTAGGTACAGACACAATAAATTGGCGCTGACCCTTCCACATGGCCGTCTCACAGCAACAGAACCGTTAAATATTAAATGAATAGGGTGAGTTGCACACATTCACAACTAGCGAGAAACGTGAAGGCCTTGTGTTTACGTGTAAGCTCAGTACTGACGTCCGTGTCATACCTGTGTGCGCACATCGATGTAGCTGAACGAAGAATGTTGCAATCTCCTGATCACTACTATTGTTTATTCAATGTATATACGTGTCTATATATTCTCCTTCATTCGATGTACGTTCGTGTGTTATTATATAAAAGAAGTATAACAATAAATACTGTTATTGTTTTAAACTGTTTTAATTTAATTTTTTTCAACTAGGTGATATCCCGTTGAACGTGACAATTCGTGAAACGTCCGACGCAGGCACGCCTGTTACCGCATCATCCCCAGCATCTGCAGAGGTAAGCCCTTGCGGCAGCGTCAGTCACATGTACAACAATGAATTCATATTTATCTTGTGTTAAATCCAAGAAATTAACATACTATCAAAATTTGCGATCTCCCTTCGGGAAATCTTCATCAGGATGTGACGTCACCATAGATGGCAGCAGGTGACATCATGAAGTTCGAGTCCCGAAGGGAGATCGAAAAATTTCGATAGTAAGTTAATTTCTTGGATTTAACACAAGATAAATATGAATTCTTAGTTTTCAACGAAATCCAATGAACTTATTTCATTCACATGTACAACATGTGACGATGGAGTCGTGTGTATGCTGCAATGTGACGTATGCAAGGAATGCATACAATAATCAATGCATGTCATGCATACACAACAAACGAATACATAATAATAACAGGAATGCATCTAATATATGCTTTCCTGAAAGTAGTAGGTGATGAGATAATCAATGAGACCAGTCTAAGTTCCTTGAAAGGGTTTCTTCATGTTTTAGAACATGTTTTGAACATGTCTGAGACTAAGTGGTCATAGGCCTAAATGCAGCTAGGATAATAGTGCTGTGAATGTCCCCCAGGGTACTGCTGGAACGTACCCTGCTACTATCTAATATGCCGGACCGTTCCTCGCCTACTCCACTAACGAGTCTAGGGAGTCTCCTACGCCTACTCCCTAACCCTAACCCTAAGTTAACCATATCAAATAGTTACCAGGGTACGTTCCGGTATACCGGTCCGTACCCAGGGTACATTCCGGCAGTACCCTGGGGGACATAGACCCTATGAGCGATAATAGTCCTGGTCTTTCTGTCTCCACATCTGCCTCCATTTTAGCCTAAAAATTAGTCACGGTCATGCCTTTTTTAATGTGATTATAATGGTGCTAATCATTATTGTAGAGCTACGCTATTTCTAATTCCCTCTCCCTTTTGGATCCCGGATTTAAACATTTTCTGAACCATTAATACATGTTTATATCGTGAACACATATCTATACAATAGATGTATAAACATGTTCGTGATATGTTTACTGTTACCATATGTATGCATCATGTATAGTGTATGTAGATTTTATTTTATGTATGCCATGATGTGTGAAGGTACAATACACATGTTTTCATGACTAGGTCCTGTCCATGGTCCGTGGTGGATTTAAAATCTCCGATGTCAGTTAACCTAGAATGTACAACAAAAGCGGTCGCTCCTTCATTGTATGAGCGGCATTACATGATTTTGACATTACATTGATGCATGACATTGATATTTGCATTGAGCTGCATGACATTGATATGCATTGTAAGGCATCCATGAGTAGGGCTACTGTCAATAACATGCGTGAATGGCTGGCACTAACGTAAGTGAAAGAAGGCATTTTTATTCACAGATAACGTGTCCTGGGCAAGAGATCGGTTGTTGTTCGTGTAATTATAATGCCTGATGGTATCCCAAACGCGATGTCCTTCCCACTCGCGTTTCCTTGTGTGTCGTTGTGTTGTAGAGACGAGCTTAACACCTTTCATACGAATGTAACATTAGCAGCCGTAGACATAATAAAGCTCATGTCTATGTCCCCCAGGGTACTATCGGAGGGTATCCTGGGTACGGTTCGATATATCGGAACGTACCCTGCATGGTAACTAT